TATATATATACATATATGTATAAATATATATTATATATATACGTGTGGGTTGGGGATGTTTCGTGTGTGTGTGCGTGTGTGTGTTTGTATCTGTACATATGTGTGATTATATGTACTACCAAAGGTCAAAAATGAGCACAAATAGCACCGAAAGCATGCGTAGATGTTCACATCAAGCTGTCACTTACGTTTGCACAGCACGCGTGATTTCCTTCACATCGCGCATGTCGTTCATAGCCTTGCCATATACCTTCTTAATAACATTCGATATGTCATAATTGAAAGTATTTGTCACCATCTTCCTCGCCCGTTCTCGAGTGCTATCACTGGCCATTTCTTCGTATATGGGAGACGATGGTGAATATGTCGTGTACTGTCGCGTGCGGTGTGTACTACCAACACTAATACGCTTAGCGTACTTGGTGTATTTAGTGTACCTACCCGCCCCACTCATAGCTTCCCCTTGTGTCAGTACGCATGCTGGTGTGTGGAGTGTCATAGTGCTACACGAACACAGCGGGTTGAATCCAGCCTGATATGCCGATACTATACTGTATGTGGCCCTACTTTCGGCTAATACTTGTGCCTTCTGGGGCACACACGCACCCTTGCGCACTATTAGCCGGCTCGTTCCCCTGAGCATGGTTGCTTGAATGATGGTGAATTAGGTGCAACGGAGACGGCCTGCTTGTTATTTATTTATATAATTATTTCGAATTTTTAAATATTGTGCTCTTCGGTGTATGATGCATGAGGCCTGTAACCTCAATGCGTTAAGTAAAGCGTTTAGCGTAGAACGTATTGCGGGGTTGAGGTTGACATGTGAGGCAGCGTGAGTAAAAATGGAGGGCGGTATTTTATACCCACATAGTGTGTATACAGACTTATATTTATGTGTGTAATGTGTTCAATATTTTAACGTGCATATTAGAAATAATCGATATAGGTGTCATATTGTCCTCCTGACGTGTCCATGATCGTGAATACAGAAGACCGTGTCGTAACATACGTTTAAGGCTTGGTTCCATAGCAAAGTCTCCGGCTGCTGGATTTAATTTCATGTATCTGTATATGCTCAATATATAATATCATATCTTTATTCATGTTTGATATATATTGTATATACGCCTTGGCTAATACATGCATGCATGCATGACAGCATGCGTGTTCGAAACAACGCAAGCTATACGTACACTTCAGACGTATCATTAAATACATGCTGTCTCTATTTACAGTTCGGTATAGAGCCGCATAACAAGGTGTATATGAAAAATCAAATGTACAACACCGGTTGAATATGCCGTTTAAGTGTAAAAGGGCGTATATACAATAGGGAGTGCAAGATGATCTAGTGTTTGTGTACATATCAGTTAAAAAAAATAAGTACCCACATATGTATTGATTTTCGACCCTATCATATATTACCTGTATATTTACGGAACATAATAAGTCAGCATATGAACCAAATTTTACAAAGTATATGCATAAATACATTGGCACCGTGTTGTATGTGTGGATAAATTTGATTTTATTGTGCACTTGTAAGCATATAAAAACATGAATGTATATGTGTATGATGTATATATATATATATATATATATTATACTATATTTATACATAATGTATATA